ATATATATATATATATATATTTTTTTTTTTTTAGCAGGTTATTGAAATTAATAGTGGGGTTTTAAAATGAACATTGAAAAATCAAACACAGTGTCCCTCTCAGAGTTTGCATTCGGGTACATTTGTGATTTAAATACACAGTTAATATTAATGCATTGTGACAGATTATCAAGTGATTTAAGAATAATGCATCAACGTGAAAATGGCAGGAAAGTCAAAGGTATCAACATTTTCCCCTAGGCCAGTGGCCACCACGCAGCTCCGCCCCTGGCCCTGGCCCCATGTCAGCAAAATGTTTCCACATCTCATTCCCTGCCTGTTGTTCCTTAACAACGCACGGATGAGCGAAAGGTCATTGAGGTCTTTTCGAGCACAAGCTACCATGTACTGTGGCTGGAGAAAAGACACACAGACTCCTGCGTGAAGCCAGCTTCATTACAAATACATGAAAACCCAAGATTCTTTCCCGATTTCTGATCGCGTGATCGTATGGGGACAGCTCATATGACTGCACTGCAACGACAAGGTGTCGGAAACCCTCCGCGTAGGGCCCCTTGCTATTGCTGCACTCTGGTGGTGAGATGACTCAGAGAAACAGCCAATATTGGTCCATATCAACGACTGAAACGAAAACCCCGTATACGCTGCGATTTTGCCCAAGTCAAGGTCAGCAAGAAAAAAAAAGGCATCAGCACGGTACTGTAGACTTAGGAGCATGGTGTCAGCAATTACTAAAATCTCGTTTTCCATTCCATCCATCCATCCATCCATTATCCGAGCCGCTTATCCTTTTTTTCCACGTGGTTGTGTGTTTATCAGTCTGAAAATATTACCTCCATGATCCATTTTATCTGGGCCCACAGGGGGTGAAGAAACGCCCCTGCCAGGCACGACTAGTATCTTTAATGTCGAGGCGGTGAATTCCCAGAATGAAGCCCGCACCGGGGGCGGCTCGGCGGGGCGGAGTCAAAGCGCAGGCAAGCTTATTCCTGGAAAGCGTGTAGAGAGAAACCAGCGCTCGATTCCCGGGAGCGCGCGCCGCTTCAACGAACGCAGAAGCCAGCGGGCGGGCACAGAGAACAAGAGGAGGGGCGCGCACACAGAAATGCACGCACACTTACACGCGCGCGTACATCGGAATAAAAAAAAAACACCCAAAGTATAGAAGGATTATTCGCCACGAAGAGTCGCGTTTCGGGCTGTACGCTTGTTTTAAAAAATTGCGAAAGGAGACTTTGTCGGGGATCGCTTGCGCGCGTGCACGTCGTCCGGAGTCAGTGACGTCAGAGCTGCCAGTGCCGAAAGGCGTTCTCGGAATAGACTTCTAGGAAACAGTCAATTTTAAAAAAGCCAAGACTTTTCGCTGCGCTCCCTTCGCACATTGGAAGCTCCCGATTCTGGCGACAACACACTCCACAAAACGAGGCCGCTAAACCGGACTCTGTTATTTAAAAGGTACCACCTGAACAAACGTCGTATATTTTGGCTCATCGACAGTGACGCGCGTTTACCGAAACTGGTTTGGTGAACCAGCGCTTGTTAGTTTTTTTAATTCATGTTTTTCTTACAAGCTTTTTTAAAATTAGCTTATCTTTGTCTTTTTTGAACAAAAAGCGAGGAGTGCGTTACGACTGGAATTGGAGTGTGGCTTGAAGAAGTAGTATGATTCTCTGTGTGCCAGGGTGAGTACATCATGTCTTTGTTTGCTTTTTAAGTCAACAACAAAAGACCTCCGTGCGAATCAATGTACTATTAGATCGCTGAAACACACACATAATTTAATTTAATACAGTAGAATCAGATCGTTAGTTATTTATTATTCATATATATATATA